ACTTGTTACTGTACTACATCTCAGAGGTACATATTGTACTTGTTACTGTACATTCAGATGAATGTGTGAAATGATTCACACGACATCAGGAATGTTTCAGTGAAGAAGAGATCAGATATTGAAATGAGGGAAACTTGACTGAGACTCAGATTTGCAGGATTTACTCGCAGCTTGAAGCCAAAAACCCCAAATATTCACACAGAGTTTCTTGTTTTTAATCTTCTGTTTCAACATCAGATACAATAGACTCTAAAGCTGTGAACCTCTTCATGACTCTAACCAACAACGTTATGCAAAAAGTGAAATGTGCTTTTAAAATGAGCTCATTGCGTTAAATTGTGGGAACTTCTGAGAGCTCGTAACTTTACATTCAGAGCTCTGAAGCTGAAACATGTTGAAGATTTGATATTTAATATAAATATAACATTTGAAGTCTGAAATGCTGGAAATTATTAAATAAAAAAATACCTCACTATTCTTACAAGTACAAAAGTTAACGTGAGTTTCTTTAGATTTGGAGCTTTTGATAATTAATATCAGAGTGAACACACTATCTGTACAGTACACAAGTACTGCACTTCAGGACAACTTTAAGGTACTTGAGATGTACTCGAGTATTTCTCTACTTTCTACTTCTCCTCCACGACATCCCAGAGAAAAATATTGTTCTTTTTACGTCACTACATTTTTCTGAATACTTTAGTTACTTTGCAGATTCAGATTAATGAAGCAACAAATACATTCAGACATTACTGAATATCTATTAAACTGTGTTGATCCCCGGGGGAACCAGCAGTATACAATCATTAAAATCACGTTTACGAGCTGCAACATGGAAGTGATGAACACATTAATGCATCAGTTATTATAACTCAGTAATAGAATACATATTATTCTACATGATGAGTAAAGTTTCAAATCTATGACTATGATTACTTCTGCTACTTCTACTAAATCTGAGTACTTCTTCCACCTCTGGAGAAATGTTTGAAAGAAACTTCTGCCGACTGAAATAAAGTCTTAAGTTTATTTAAGTTTACTGATTAATAATGTTTGCAGCTTTTTTGTCTAGATATACATGTGCTTCTGATAGCAGAATATTATGTATATATATATATATATATATATATATATATATATATATATATATATACACACAGTAAATGCACTCTTTAACCCCTCACATACTTTACTATACTATATACTGAAGGCCAATATAAAATATATGCACACATGGAGGATACAGAGTACCTGAACAGGTAGTATACAGTACTGCTCAGGTACTCAGAGACCTATTAATCTAAAATGAGTCTGAACCATCTCTGATCTTCATCAATGCAAAGAACTCTGCAGAAATAAAAACTATTTCAAACATTTTCTGCAGGTTTTCTCTTCCAGCAGCAGAAGATATTTGTGTGCAAACAAGTATTAATAAAGTTGAGATTGAAGTCTTCACCTCCACAGACACATGGTGAACATCTACTCACTTTTCCGGTCCGACGGGCCAATCACAGACCTGCTGCGGAGGAATCCACCACCTCAGTAGTTCCCTGAGGGCTTTCTTTAAACAGTGTTTTATTTAAATCTCGTCCCCCCCCCCACACCTCCCCCCTCCCTCGTCCTGACGGATGCCTTCTCCAGCCAATCAGGACACGTGCTGAGACAAGCTGAGGAATCCTGCTCACCTGGACCAATGAGAGCGCGAGCTGAGGGAACGTTACCTTATATGGAGAGCGCGAGGAGTCCCTCCAGCGCGGATAAAACAGGTGCGGGTTGTCTCTGAAGTTGCATCGACCCGATCACAGCTGGGGCAGATCCAGAAACACCTTTACGACTCCTCACGCAAGACTCACCTGCACAGGTAAGAACCACCGCTGCTTCTGACACCGGTCTCTGATGTCTCTGCTCACCAGAGACATCTCTAAACTGAACTGCTAGTAGAGCTTTATTTAAGGACAATAAGGTTTATTGATCCGACTGTTTAACTCTGAATCTCTTCAGGTGTGTGACAGACAGCTGATCACAGCTATGACGTTTTAAACGCCTTTTATTTCAACCTTAGAAATAGATTCATGTCTGAGTTTAATTTGTTTTGGTAAACATTTTAAACAGCAGGTTCGTTTCTCTTTAAGATGAAGAGAAACGGTTTAATTAAATTCACAACACATGATGTCGCGGTTAAAATACTGCAAGTGTTTCTCTAATAAGGTATCGTCATCACAAACGGGTGTAGTTCTTCAAGGGTTAAATCTAATCTGGATATTAGCTGTCAGTGACCAGATCTCTGCAAGTATGAGGACACGCTCAGCGTTTCCCACCAGATATTAACCTTTATGCATCTCTACTGGAGACTTGCATGTATCAGCAGCTGGTGTAATATAATGATCAATAACACAAATGTACAAGGAAATGATCTCAGTGAAGCTACTTTGTGGTTTAAATGTTAATGTTAAGCAGAGTTGTGTAACTGTTTCAGGGACTGTGTGGGGTGGGGGGGCGGCTCTGTTCTGCATCAAACACTTGGTGTTGCAGACCTTCACCAAAATTCCTGAATTATCTCACAACTTTATTAATGCTCGCTAACAAACTGCACGCTGTAGTTAAACTTGACTCGTCTCACACAAGGTGACGGACGAGGCTGCAGTTTAAATCTAAAGACATTAAAAGCAAGTAGTATCTGAAATAGTGTAGTTTGTTAAAGAGGATTAGTTTAGGATCTGTCTGAACCCCTTCAGATGTTCAAAATGTAATTTCTACATTCATGACTCAATTGTTATAATGAGAAATGTATTCCACTGGTGCACTATGGGTCAAAGCTACAGCTTGATGTGCATTAGTAATCTAACATGTCATGCTCACTTTCAACACAAATGATGAACTTTAACGACTCGATCTCAAACATCCTCTGCTGACGGTCGGCCATGTTTGCTGCAAACGAAGGTGTGGCTCCTCTGTAGACGATTGGCTTCCACACATCCAGTCACAAGTTTGTGCGTCTGGGTGGAGTCTGATGACGGCAGTCAGAGATCTGTAGAGCGTAAACCCTTCGGCTGGTCAGGTGTCCTCAACGGGTCACCAGTTGCTCGGGTTGGATGACTTGAGAGGCCACGCCCAACAAACTGTCATTCAGTGAGGGAGATTAACATCGCGAGAGGAACCAGAACATTCAAAGTGAACCCTCACATCAGAGTGTTTGTCCTCATTAAGCTGTTTCATCACTCGGCTGAACTCCTGATGTAACTGAGGATGTTTCAAATAGTCAGTGATGAGCTGGCAGGAAATGACATCACCTCACTTCTGACACATTTTCTTAAAACAGTTTAAACTAAATCATTCTAGGTCCTTATGCTTTAAAAAAAAAAAAGTATCAAAAACTTAATCATATCGGCACTGAAATCTTATTTTTTGCATGATTTGTTTAATTATTAAACTCCATGAAGATGCTTTTAATCAGTTTTCAGGTAATTAAAAATAAACATTTGACTCGGATCACAAACTAATAGCTCTAGACAACGTATAAGGAGAAAGTGATTGCTGGTGTCACTGTAGAAGAATAACTCGTATGTTGCATTAATATAAATGTTTGTTTTCAGAAATGGAAGACGATATTGCTGCCCTGGTTGTTGACAATGGCTCCGGCATGTGCAAAGCCGGTTTCGCCGGTGACGACGCCCCCCGCGCCGTCTTCCCCTCCATCGTCGGTCGCCCCAGACATCAGGTACTATTTGATAAAGAATATAAAATCTCCCCAGCAGGTAAAAGCAGTGAACGCGTGATGGTAAAGGTGTTTGTGTGCAGGGTGTGATGGTGGGAATGGGACAGAAGGACAGCTACGTGGGAGACGAAGCCCAGAGCAAGAGAGGCATCCTGACCCTGAAGTACCCCATCGAGCACGGCATCGTCACCAACTGGGACGACATGGAGAAGGTAAAGACCTCCACCTCCTGATTACACACCTGGAGCTCAGATCATCTGGTTAAGACGGGTCACAGCTCTCAGGCTGGACATCGTCGGTGCTGCTGTTCAAGCTACAACAAGTCAACATAGTATAGAGTCATTTCATAGTTTAGTTAAGGATTTCAAAACTTAAATTGACAAATTATTAAAGCTCAAGGTTAAACGCTTGGAAAGGCTTCCACCAGCCACACCTGACTCGTCCACATGTATTTAAATTCTTCACCTGAACATTCAGCTTTCAAACTAACCATCTGTCCCGTCCTGCAGATCTGGCATCACACCTTCTACAACGAGCTCCGTGTTGCACCTGAGGAGCATCCGGTCCTGCTGACCGAAGCTCCACTCAACCCCAAAGCCAACAGGGAGAAGATGACCCAGGTGTGTTCACGCTTCGCTCAGAATCGGTGTGACTCGTATTCTGAGACCCGTATTAGGAACGAGCTACAGCGGGTTTTGTTTGGTCTTCAGTGACGCTTGTTTTGTTTCTCTCTTTGGTACAGATCATGTTCGAGACCTTCAACTGTCCGGCCATGTATGTGGCCATCCAGGCCGTCCTGTCACTGTACGCCTCCGGTCGTACCACAGGTGAGAACTCATGACTGAAAACACTGGAACAGCATTTAATATTGAATTAAAAGACTTCCCGCTCAAAAAATGGACTTGTATCACAAGTACCTGAGATGTTGGGTTTTGTCTGAACTTTCATGTTTCAGCTTTCTGTAACCGGGTGTTTTCTCTCTTACAGGTATTGTGATGGACTCTGGTGACGGCGTCAGCCACACCGTGCCGATCTACGAGGGTTACGCTCTTCCTCACGCCATCCTCCGTCTGGATCTGGCTGGCAGAGATCTGACCGACTATCTGATGAAGATCCTCACTGAGAGAGGCTACAGCTTCACCACCACTGGTATGAGTTTCACCTCCTAAAGCCAGTGGTAGAGGCCCAACTTCTAACCCGGAGCTTCTCACAACTTAAAAACAAAGTGTGACCTCAGAAGAATTGAAGCTCCTGAATGTCTGCTGGTGTTTCTACTTTCTGATTTGAATTCTTGTCCATTTTGTAACCACAAATATTCCACTCTTGACTTCCAGCTGAGCGTGAGATCGTGCGAGACATTAAGGAGAAGCTGTGCTACGTTGCTCTGGACTTCGAGCAGGAGATGCAGACGGCTTCCTCCTCTTCCTCCCTGGAGAAGAGCTACGAGCTTCCTGACGGACAGGTCATCACCATCGGCAACGAGAGGTTCCGCTGCCCCGAGGCGCTGCTCCAGCCTTCATTCCTTGGTGGGTAACGACTCTTAACACAGACTGGAGACAATAAAAATTGAGTTCTTGGGCAATCCACGGGATGATCTAGATTTTATTTGCCTTTTCTATTGAGGCAAATTCTGTAAAGGATCAAACACCAGTCAAATCTTTAAATTCTGATTTTTGAAACATCGTCTAAGCCTAAAGATGTATAATATTTTGACTAATCGCACTATTAAAGTGTTTCTGGGCACAGGTGTCGTAGTGGTGTTCAAACACTAAAACTCTGGCTGCCTCTGTGTTCAGGAATGGAGTCATGTGGCATCCACGAAACGACCTACAACAGCATTATGAAGTGCGACGTGGACATCCGTAAGGACCTGTACGCCAACACCGTGCTGTCCGGTGGCACCACCATGTACCCCGGCATCGCCGACCGCATGCAGAAGGAGATCACCGCTCTGGCCCCACCCACCATGAAAATCAAGGTATAGTTTCTTTTAAATATATTCATTTTTTTTTTTTTTTAATATGCAGACAAAATGGACTTGATGTCTGATCTTACCCTTTTTCTCTCCTTGCCTCCAGATCGTCGCTCCTCCAGAGAGGAAGTACTCGGTCTGGATCGGCGGCTCCATCCTGGCCTCCCTCTCCACCTTCCAGCAGATGTGGATCAGCAAGCAGGAGTACGACGAGTCCGGCCCCGCCATTGTCCACCGCAAGTGCTTCTAGAAAGCTCCACATGGTCCCATCTCCTCTAGCCCGGCGGGGAAGTCGACATGCTTTACAATGGTTTCGTCCAACTAGAACGGTGTCTTGGTGTGAACAGACTAAAAGATACGAGATGCCACAGAAGATGACTCGAGCGTCTGTTTACGTTTTGGGAAGTCGCTGAACATCAGACGAACTATTTCTGAACATGTTCCTCTAACTCTGCTCACAGCCTTCACACCTGCTGGTGATACAACAAACAGTATTATCACTTCACATCTCGTTCTACCTCCAACAATAGATTGTACATCAATACTCTGCTTTTCTCCTCACTCGTTCTGTCTACTGACTCTGTCACAGTTGAGCTGTATGAATATTCCACCGGAGTGTTCACTGGTCAATAAAATGCCAACATTTGATGTTTACAACTTCTCTAATGTCGTTCTTTGCTGAGTTTCAGAAACTTCTAAATGGTGATACATTGAGTTCCTGATTCTTTACATTAAAGCACTTGATCATAGTTTTCACACAAGTGACATTTTTACACCTTCAGGTGATTAAAAATATCAATAGAAAATAACTGAGGTTTGTGGATAGTGCCACCCAGTGGCATTTATAAATTTAACTTCAATTTTATATTTCACCCTTCTGTGTTCCAAATGCAGTACAGAAGTTTCTTCAGTCTTCACTAACCTGTCTAAACGTACTCTAATGGACATTAAAATACTTTTAGAAATGGTCCTCAATGGGGTGTCGTGGTGCCAAGAGGTCTAAGATGATCTGCAACATCCTGTTAAACTATCCAAAAACCTTGAGGCAAACATTTGATAAGACAAATGCAATACATTTATGACATGTCCAACATTACATTTGTAAGGACCAAACCATTTTGTCATGAGAACTCTAACCTCAGCCTTTATTCTTAACCTCAAACCAGACTGAAGATGCTAATTTGTCATAGGTTTGTTTTTTTATAGAACTGTCGATTCCCATTCCCTTTTAAAAGCCAGGTGCACCTGGTGCACTAATTAAATCTCAAATTCTGCAAATTGGAGAAGAGTGGTTTTCTGCTGTAAAGGTTTTTTTTTTTATTTTTTTTTATTTTTTATTTTTTTTTTTTTAAATATAAGGCTAAATGCCAACAAATATGGATTGAAACTGAATGAATTTAGATAAAAATGTGAGAATTGTGGATAAGATTACTCAAATCTAATTATACAAACGCTATACTAATCTTTACCTGCATCTGTGCAGCAATACGGGGGATTTAAAGAATATAAAGCTGTGCAGCATTTAAATGTCAAAGTTATGAATGAAGCTTCAAACTTTTCAGTACAGCCCCAGAATGAGTTTCATATTCTGTTTACTGATGAGGACAAAACTGTTTATTTAATTTATTACATTCTATTCTAATTCCAACACCTGAATAATTACCACAAAACCGATCCATAGCAAAATAAAGTTGGTCTTTTAGTGAAAAAATACATTTAATGAGCCAAGGTGGTGCCTAAAAACTGAGTGTTTTAAGTGAATGTCTTCAACTAGCTTGTCTGTTCAGGCCTTCATCTTCCTCTTCTTCATCATACAAACTGTGTTGCACATTTTCTTTTTCACAACCAGGACTGTTTGAAAATGAAGATTTATCTGATGTGAATAGTTTCAGTTAATATTTATAATGGATTCTATACGAAATTCACCAAAGATGTGAGACTTTCCTCACAAAACATGTGCAACTAAAACATTTATAGTTATAAACTTAATAACTTAGTGAATGAATGTGAAACTATTGTGATGGTTAACTAACCCAAGTGGCAACTTTATACCTTCATTGGAAATGAAACATTTCACAAAGTTCACCAATATTAAACGTTTTATTATCAGTTTGTCTACATTAAGGATTTTACAGAACAATACAAATTGGCATTTTTTTGTAGGACAATACAAATATAATGGAAACTACGGACGTGTTTTATTTCCAGCCTTGTCTTCAATCATCGTTGTATTTTGATTCTTAATAACTAATGTAAATAATGCTGATGAGTATTTATTTCTAGCAGAATCAGCTGCTTAGATATTTGACTCAATTGTAAAATGTAAAAAGAACAAACTGGCTACGATGAAATATGATAAAGCATATTCTGTACATACAGTACATAGTACATGTCCAACTATGCAAGTAGAAAATAAACAATAACTATGACAGAAAGATGAATTACACAAGTTACTGTATGATCACATCATTTGGTCTCCATCATTACGAAGAGGTGAGCTCACCCTAAATGTCACATATTCATTTTTGATCCTATATTCTCAAATACAAATATGGTTCTTTTAGTATTACCTATATACATACAGTATCTTTTGTTAGGTATAAACCAGGTGCACTATGAAGTAAGTCATACTCTGAACTCAAACACAACTTCCACTCTGAGGCAGATACACAACTAACAGAGTGAACCCATGAACAGTCTGTTTTCAGAGAGCCACAATTCCAGCTAGTCTGTAAACTCCTCTACAGCGTCACACTTCATGTAGGGAGGCAGAAAACAGAACAAGTTATACTCACAATCTAGTGTAAGTATAAAAATATCAAAAGAAACAAACATCCCAAAACAATCCATGCGACATGCGGCCCAGAGGAACATGCTTCTCCTAACTACTCCAAATTTGTAAATGAATGTATAAACAATCAAAGATTAATTACAGTAAACGGACTTCATGAATAATAATACACAAAGGTTTATGCAAACATATAAATCAACATTTTCACAATTCTCTGACATTTAAGGTAATTTGCTGATTTTCTCAGCAGCCGAGTTCAATGACATTGTGTTCTATTCAGAGGTGTCTCAGTGATGTGTTAGCTGTCCTAGCACACACGTCCTAAAGTGTTAGTCCAGCTCCATCAATGTGGAATCAAACAAGCAGAAAACAGGCGTAGTTGTGCTTACGTGGTGTTGCAGAATTAGAAAATAAAGCAGCACTTAGTTTACAGCAGGGGTCTCAAATTTTCACTCCGGGCCACATCAGCATCACGGTCGCCCTCAAAGGGCCGGTTGTAAATGTGACTACTCCTAACATATTGGTAAATAACTGTCTCTGCATTTGATTATTGTTTATTCAAGTGTAAAAATATTGTAATGCAGTTATATAAATGTAAAAATATATTTAAGCACATTTCTGTTATTATAACTTAAATCCTATTAATTTAGGGTTAATAAACCCACATTACTCTATCAAAGATCAAACTATTAAAGAAAATAGCAAAGACAAATATCAAACAAGTTATTACAATAACTTTGTTCAAAGCTTAAAATCCTTTCAAGGGTGCGTTTGCACAATCCCACGTGAAGTATTTCATGTGTTTTAAAGCCAGTTTAAAGTAGTCTTCAATGTACTCACAATACATCTCCATGTCAAGTGAACAGTAACCAGCCAAAGAGCTGCTTCCATGACTGTGTGTTCAAGTATCTCATAATTATGACTTTCAATCTCATAATTATGACTTTCTATCATAGTTATGACTTTCAATCTCATAATTTTGACTTTCTATCATAGTTATGACTTTCAATCTCATAATTTCGACTATGGGGATATTTTTATCATCAAGTCTAACTTTAAAAATGACGTGGCGGGCCGGATTCGACCCGCGGGCCGGGAGTTTGAGACCCCTGGTTTACACGTTTTAACAATTTACTGACCAGCAAAAGCTGCATATTAAGATACTTGCTCTACAATAATAAATACAAATGGTGAACTAATTGTCGGTTCCCTCGACTGAAAGTCAATGTGTTTTTGGTTAAATAGTCTGTGGTTAACATTAACACACCACCAGATTTTAACGTTTAGTTCTTGGATATATAATAGGTCAGTGAATACCCCTCTGGTGAATTTAGAAGCTTCTACGTGTTTTAAAAAAGTGTGTAAATGAGACGACTAAATGTCCTCACTAGGACACTAGTCCTCCTTCAGCTTAGTGGTGGAGACGTGAAGTCATGTGACCGTGGTGGAGTTCCTTTATAGACTAACGTTACAAACATCATAAAAGTGGTGTTCATTTGTGAAGATTACCACTCTGACCATTTGTTTGACACACAGATTATGTTCTGCAATAATCCAAAGTCTAATGCAAGAATCACAGTTGCTTTTTGATCGAGGGAACCATGATGATGCTTCCTCATACATCATCCCTGCATCACTCTATACACTACAGACCTCTCTGTGTTTTAACATACATGCTAAGGTTCAACATAGATGCAACAGGTTAAATCCATCAACAAGCCTGCAAGGCTCATCTCTGAAGACATGCTTATTGCTGGCATCTACGTATATCTGGTTTACTGTCGAGGTTTTTTGCGATCTGTGCGCCTTCAATTGGGCATATTAGTCGGGATATGAAAATGCACCTGCCGGTATCCTGATGATTCATTTTCCTGTAAAGAAGCTTCTGTTGTACACATTACATTTGCTCTCGATGTTTGTGAGCCCCGGACCTTGAAGTTCAAAATACGGGTACTGATTGATGTTTCAGGGTGTGTGTGCTTATATTTGTATTATCTATATTGCATTTTTTTGTACTCTCCAACGTCTTTTGTTTAATCATGTCGTGTGCCTTTATGTGTTGACAGGTTAGCTTTGAAGAGTCCAAGTCAAATTTCCCTGTGGGGACAGTAAAGCATCCGTCCATGCACGTAGCCAACGAGCTACAAAGACAGTTTTGTAGGTTGAGGAAGAGTTTTCTGACTTTTTTCTGCTTCCAGTCTTTCTACTAAAGCTCGGCTAAACACGCTAAGAGTTACAATGACATGGATCTCGTCATCTAACTCTCACTGCAGCAAATTAGTTGTATTTTACTAAATCACTTCCTAAGTGAGTAATATGTGCAAACTGAAGATGAAGACATCCATCTGTAAAGTCCATAAATGTAAACCTGCTTCTTCTATCAGCCTAGCAAGTTGTAAATCTCTTCATGTGTGTTCTTTGGTCTTTGTGCTGTCTGTAGTGTGAATGTCTACCTCAGAAAGATGTGACTCAACAGAAATAGAAACAACAAGAGCACACCAAAAGCAAGATACCATTTCCTTCTCTTGTGATGGTACTCTTCTTGGAGCTTTATGAAGCTCTTCTTCGCCTCCTCCAGACTCAGTTTGTCCTCCTGACGTTTTTGTTCCCAGGTGTCCTTTCTTTCTTTATCCCAGGCGTCTCGATCTCTCTTCACCTCTTTTCTAAACAGCTCCAGTTTCTTTACAGCATTTTCCTTTTGCTCTCTTTCTGACTGAACTATTTTCTCTAAAGCTTCCAGTTTTATTCTCCCTTCCTGTCGCTGAGTTTCCTGTTGTTTTTTCCATCTCCTTTCTTCTTCCACCCGATCTTTCCGTCTCCTTTCCTCTTCCTCCCGTTCTTTCCTTCTTTCCTCTTCCTCCCGTTCTTTCCTTCTTTCCTCACGCTCCTTGGTGACGTCCTCAAGCTGTTTTGCTTTCAGTTTTCTCTCGTCTTCTTTGAATTTGCTTTTCAGGGATTTTAAATCTTCCTCATGTTTTCTCCGGAGGTCCTCATCCCTTCTTTTCATCTCTTCTTCCTTCTCTTTTAAAATCCTCTCCACTTGTATTTTTGTGTATCCTTCTGTGTTGTCAAACATCTCAGTGTTGTAGCAGCCACCATTTTCCTTCATCATGGTCTCGATGTTGTTCAGCAGATCTCTGACTTGAGTGCGGTTTGTGTAATCTTTGTTATTGAAGACCTGGTATCTCCCTCCACAGTCCTTCAGGAGTTCTTTTACAAAGTCATCACAATCTTCGATATAACTCTCAAATGACCGATCTTCCAGGTCATCTCCTCTGGTGAATATAATGATGATGAAATCTTCAGACTTCTCACCAAAATATTTCTTGATCAGTTTCACGGTGTCTTTTTCTTCTTGTGTAAACTTCCCGATCTGCAGCACCAGTAAGAACACATGAGGTCCAGGAGACAACATGCTGACGCATTTCTGAAACTCTTGTTGAATTTCTTCATCAGACAGAGTCGTGTCAAACAAGCCGGGGGTGTTGACCAAGACGACAGGCCGTCCATCGATCTCTCCTGTTGCTTTCTGACAAGACTTGGTCGTTGGCTTCGGGGTGATTCTGGGTTTGAAGAGCTTTTTGCCCAAAATGGTGTTTGCTGTTGAACTCTTCCCATTGCCAGTCTTCCCGATCAGCACCATCCTGAGATCACTTCCCACCTCCGTCTTCTGTTTCACATCCCTCAGTTCAGCTTCAAGTCTTGAAACCTTCTCCATCTGAGCCTTGGTGAACATCTCCATTGTGAAGCATCTGGATCCTTCAACTCTCATCTTTTCCACAGAATCCAACAGCTCTGGGATCTGCTGCTGGTCCCTGATGTTGAGAACAACATATCTTCCTCCACAGCTCTGACAGAGATCCTGGATCTCCTTGTTTTCTTTCACAAAGTTAACAACAGCTGGAGCTTTAGGATCTGACTCCACAGTGAACAGAATCATGGTGAAGTCATTGACTGGAGAGCTGAATGTGTTCTGGATGGTCTCTAACTCTCCCTTGTCTTCATCAGTGAGGGGACCCACAGGTAGGACCAGGAAGAAGACATGGACGCCCTCAGGACCACAGAGGG